GGGGACATGTCCCCTTCACATATAATGGTTGCAACGCCTATGATGGTAAGCTAATGCTAACTGGCTTTATATTGTGGAAGCTGAGCCTTAAAGTATTTACCGGTAAATGTTGATTAATTACAGTTTAGTAGTACATGCTGTGTGTGTGTTTCAGATGATTCTCCAGCAAAGTAATTGCAGCAGATCTACCATCTGTTTACATCCAGCTCTGGAGCTTCCATTGAAGTATCATTTCAGTATAAATGTTGACAAAAAAGATGTATCAATGAAATCTTGACTTTTGTTATGACACTTTAGTTATTTACCAAACACTGTAGATGAAAAATCTGGATTTTGCTCATAATCATGACTTAAACTTAAAACAGGTTTCACATACAGGGTGATAATTTATTTTAAAGTTTCAGGTAAATTAAAATTACAGATTATTAAAAAGATCAAATTAAACCACACACACACACACACACACACACACACACACATATATATATATATATATATATATATATATCCTGCTAATGAACTTTTAATGAACTTTAGTTCACCAGTAAGATGAGAGTTCTGTGATGGAGTTAAACTCAAAGCAGTCTGCTCCTCAGATAAATAATATTAAATTATTATTTTTAAATATGAATGCTTCTGTTAACTTATTTTATATAAGAATATTTCTGTTCAGTGCCCTGAGACAACTTCTGTTGTGACTTGGTGCTGTATAAATAAACTGAACTGAATTTAATCTGATGAACCAGATTTTACAAAAACATCTATATTTAATTTTTTTTTGTTTTTCTTCATCATTTGTATTTGTACTTTTATTGTTCAATTTAGATATGTGGTTTTGTTTCTTGTATACAGAATATTTTATTTTAGTGATTTAAAGTTTAATTCTTGTTTTGTGATTTGCACATCTGTGTATTATTATAATGTTGAACCAAAGTTTGTGTTTCTTCTTTAAACATGTTTGAGGGAAATATTCCTGAGAGATCCAATAATTTTGTGTCTGTTTATGATTTTTTTCAGCTGAGTTCACTTTAGTTAACAGATTATTTAACAGTCATTAAAGTGAAAACAGGATTTCATGATAAAGCTGGCACCGTTTATTTATTTTTAATCTTCACTGATAAAAAAATATAATACTTTTTTTTTAATTAAAAAAAAATGTTTTTAAAAAATTGTTTCCACCCACCGTCCCAGACCTGTCCCCGTCCGTCTGTCTGCCACAGCTCGGAGTCCGGCCTTTATGTGTTTGTGAGGCCGGCGCCCGGACTACGGTTTCGAGTCGGCAGCTCGTATAACCCTCTGAGGTGACCAGCTCGCTCTGAATTTTGTTGTCTGCTACCAAACACACACAAAAAAAAAACGCCTGGACTTCAGCACAAGACCACAGTGTTGCCATTGTTGTTTTTAAAATCTTAAAAATAGGTCCAGCGGCTGCTCCGAGTAATTGCAAATGGCAGATTGGGTGTTTTGAAAAGTTTCTGAACAAACCAGTGACTCCGCCCCCTGACCAATCAGTGACCGACAGTGTTCTGATGACACGTTTTGGTGCCGGCTCGGCTCGCTTGGTACCCAAGAGAAGAATGGTCCGATTCCACAAAAAACTGATGGAAAAAAGCTTGGAACCGTACCAGCTGAGTCGAGTCGTGCTGAAGATCAGCTATGGAAAAGGCCCATTATAGTCCTGGCTCTCGTTACTGGGATGACTCATCTGTGGATAGTTAACTCCACCTCTGGACTAAGGAACCAGCAGGAAGAGCTGGAAACCCTAACAAAAGGACACACCTGGGAAACACAATCACCTGTTAAACACATATTCCAATACATAAATGCGTTATACAAACTTAGCTTTCCATTACAAATGATGCTATATTTTAAGTTGTGTATCCAATCCAGGTGTGAACATCTGAAAATAAAAGCTGAAATGTTGCTCTATTGTCTTCTGTTCATCTTTTGAAGTTAAACCCAAATGTTTAGAATAAGATTAGAGGTCTTGTAAAGGCTGGAATTTTTCTGAGCGACTGAAGACAGATTTCTGTCGTATTTACCACAAAGCAGATGCAATCTGTCTCAGTAATCCCATCTTTACACAGCTGACATTTCTCTTCCATCAGCTTATCCGTCCGTGCTTATCTGCATGAAGGCGTCGGGTACTGCAGCCATGTGGGCTTTGCCTGCTCCACTATCAGCACCCTCTGGAATGTTTGGAACAATAATGTAGCCCAGGTGAGGACCAAAGAACATCTAGGTAATACATGAGGTCATCCAACTGATCTAAAGTTTAAAAGGTGTCTATTGAAAAACAGACGAGCTTAAACAAATGTGATGTTTTAACACCTGAAACATACTCCAATCTTAAATAATTCATGGTGGTCCAGGTAAATGCTTTATTGTAGATGCAGCATGAGGTACAGTGAAGTCCCTGGGAGGTTTGAATAGTGAATGTTTGGAGCTTTGGACATGAGTGTTTCTGGACTGGAATTGAACAGGGAATGCAACTAAACCTAAATGTTTTTGATGCAAGATATTCAAGTGGGTAGGAGTTACACTGTGGAGAAGAAGAAAGTGTTTTTATTATTTTGCTTGTTCGAGGCAGAGCAGAGTGACGGATCCTGTTTGGAGGGAGCAATTTTATCCACCACCAGGTGCAGTGGTGGAGCCAGGGGGTGGCCAGTGGTTGCCTTGGCCTCGGTAGATTAATATTCTGCCACCCAAAGGCCCACCCCAATCATTTGAGAAAAACTACTTGAGGAATGTTTAAGAAATATAAGTGCTAGAAATAGGGCATTAACAGAGTACTCGAGTAATCCATACATCGATTGCTAGCACATCTATCGAGGTTAAAAATGTAACGTCGAGTATCCGTAGTGACGTCATATTATGTGACCACCGTATGACCGTAGGGGGCGGTGTTGCACTGTTGCAGGTCACAGAATATGGTGTAACACCAGGTCCAATCCACCGAACCAGAACCAGCTCCTCTGACCTTGTTTCACAAACAAAAAGCAAAAAATATTCATCTCTAAAACTAAACTTAATGCGCACCACAGCTGCGAGGTGGTTTAAGTGTTTTAAGTTTCGTTTTTGACGTGCTGTTTCTTCACGTTTGCAGTTTAATAATAATAACTAATAGTTTAGTTTTTCCTGTGACTTATTTGCAGTATGATAAATGGTAGGAGCATAATATACGCTCCCAATGTTTTGTTGGTCTTTTTTTTTGTAAATAATGACCTTTTTTGCGGTTTTATTTATTTATTTATTTTTGTATCTTGCGATCTATGACGTCATCAAATCCTCGAGTTCTACTCAGGTTTTATTATGTTAATGTCGAGTTTAAAAATTATATACTCGTCCAACCCCTAGCTAGAAAGCCTAGTTTCCATAAATTTTAGGGTTGGTTGGTTTACACACACTCCAGTCAGCCGTGGAGCGTCTGATGCTGCAGCCTGCACGCATGTGCAACAGCGTTTTCAGACTAAATGTTTACTTGTGCACATTGCAAGAGAGTTTTTGTTGTTTACATCCAAACTAAAACAATTCTGTTGAGATGAGAGGCTCTGCAGCAACATCTGGCTGAGAGAAGGTTCTGTTTCAAAAAAAAAAAAAAAGTGCTACGTGTTGTCATCATTGTACGTTTGTTGGGAGCTGTTACAGATTAGGTGTCTTACTCAAGGACACCATGACACGTGGGCATGGTGGTTGAACCTGTGACATTCTGGTCCCAGGCCGGCCGCTCTGCCTCTACTCCACAGCCAGGCTGAGTTGAAGTGACCTGTCAGTGATTTTTACAGAAGCTCTTAAATATAAAAGAGCAACATCTATTGAGCTAATATAACAATTTAAATAGAAACAGAGGTAAAAAAAAACATTACTGATAGGAATGCATTATTTTATGATCTGAGACGTATGTGATTAAAGTCATATTTTCAGTGTATTTTAATGTGGTTGATTTTCCTCTCAGGAACACTGTGTAGTCAAGTTATGAGGTTATGAGAGCATTTTTTAAAAATCTGATAAAATTATAAAAAGTAGAAAGATTTTTTTAGGCTTTGTTGCGAAATAAATTATGTTTACTGACTGCAACCACATGAATAAATTAAAAAAATAAATAAATACGTGGCTGATTTCCCCCGAAAGATGATTAAGTTAAAGTGAAAGCAGCAGGATCGCCCCCTGTCGGCCGGCTGCGGTATTACCCGGTGAGTGGGGGGGGGGGGGGGGGGGGGCACACCTCAGCTCAGTCATGAATAAAAAAAATGTTTTAATTAAAAGAAAACCCAAAGTAGTTTAAACATGTTGAACTCTTGTGGATAAAACACTTCACCTTCTTAAACGTGGAGAAGTTCCTGCTCTGAGCTGTTGGTTTGGCAGCTTTGGGGGAGTCATGTTCGGGGAGGGTCCTCCGCCTGTAACTAGAACCATGTTGGAGACAGAGGTCCAGTGGACTGAAACTGTGTTCTATTAGAACGAACATGGATCCGTTCTGACCCGGACCGGCTTGTCTTCAGAACCGTTTAAAATAAAGAGCAGGGAGAACAGACATAAAGAGAAGTGTGGATATTACGAGCAGCTCCTGAACGTTGGCAGGTTTGGAGCTGCAGGAGGACCGAGTGGACCGGGTTTGTGCAGAACCTCTGAGTGTGGACCGGGTTTGTGC